AGTAGATGGGGTTGTGGTGGTGGGAGCAGCTTTACTGGTTGTGGCAGGACTACTGGCAGTCATGCTTGACTGGGTTGCTGGGGGAACAGAGATATCAAGTTTCAGAAGACAGAACATTTTCAACACATAATGGCAATTGCTATTATTTAAAACTAGTTAGTACCCAATCATTCTTTTCTGAAAAACAAATACAGTTGACTACATTAAAAATGAAAGTGCGCGGGGCACCTGGGTGGCTCTGTCGGTTAAGCGTCTGCCTTCAGCTCAGGTCACGATCCCAGGGTCCTGGGACGGAGCCCCGCGTCGGGCTCCCTGCTCAGCGGGGAGCCTGCTTCTCCCTCAGCCTGCCCCTCCCCCTGCTTGTACTCTCTCTCTCTGACAAATAAATAAAATTAAAAATTAAACAGACAAAACCGGAAAAGTGTTACTGCAATCTGTTACAAAAAGCTAATATGTATGAAGATGACTACCAAGAAGTAACATTGCTTCTGCCTGCAGTTGCAGAACTGTATGAATCTGGGTTTAATACTCCTGAGTAGTCCTCTGTGAGGACAACTGAAAGCGCCAGCAGGGGGCGCTGTTATGACCTGAAAGTGGCCTCCTTTTGTCTTTACAGTTTAAGGCAATTGTCCTCATTTCCCATTTATATCGCATTTTAGGGAGGGTTGGGAAAGGGGTGTGTTTAAAAGAATGATGAAATAAAAATACTTAGGTAAGTGTGTATTAAACTTCCCCAATTTTTTTTCTAGTGTTATTTACCCATTAATAATTTTAGACACATTACTTTTTTAAAGAGTAAAATGAAGAGAGAGATGATCTTTGCCCTAAGGGCTACGGTGATCATCAGAGTTGCCTTTTTTCAACTCTTAGGAACCCTTGGACACATGGCGTAGTAAACACTTAGTGGTCCAGTGATTAGTCTTCTAGAACCCTTCATTGTCTCAAAGAACTCTGACACTGACAACCAGTTTAAAAAAATATTAAATGCTTTAGTGAGGGAAAAAAAAAAGTTTTAGGGGCGCCTGGGTGGCTCAGTTGGTTAAGCGACTGCCTTCGGCTCAGGTCATGATCCTGGAGTCCCTGGATCGAGTCCCGCATCGGGCTCCCTGCTCGGCAGGGAGTCTGCTTCTCCCTCTGACCTCCCCCCTCTCATGTGCTTGCTCTCTCTCATTCTCTCTCTCTCTCAAATAAATAAATAAAATCTTTAAAAAAAAAAAAAAAGTTTTAGTGAGGAAGCAATTCCTAAACCCTCAGATATTTAAAAAACAAAACAAACAAACAAACAAAAACCCGCTGATGGCCCCTGGGTCTGTGAGCCCCAGGCTGGCAGAATCTGGCTCTTCACCTTCAACAGGGCCTGGCTCAAATAATCATTAAAGGTTGAAGAGATAAACAATTGCTCTTCCAGGAGCAAGAAAACAGTTCACCAGCGCATCATCTTGACCTAGTTCCGCTTCTCTTTCATCTAACAAGGGCTTACCCTGTGCCAGATAGTAACCGTGAAATTGATACGAGCATCCACATTTGACAGAAGAGCCCACCAATACCCAGAGGGGTTTAGGGATTTGCCCAGAGGTAAGCCTTAATTCCCATGTGGAAGGGGACAAAAGACTCTTGATGCTAGAACCAGAGATTAAACCAGGCCCTTTGGGGGCCAAAGGAAAGGCTACTGGGCACCAGGCCCTTGAAACCTACTGATCTGTTCTTGTATGGCCTGAGGAACTCTGGAGGACAAATCTCTGACTTGCTGAACCCCACATCCCGTAGTCCAGAGGCCCCTTGACTTCTGCTCTGTCTTCCTTCACCACAGACTGAAATGCCATACGTCTCTGAACAGAGTCAGAAAATAGCCTGCTGGGCCATGGAACTGGTACCTTAAGCCTGCTGGTTCTATCTCCAAGACAGCAAACATGATTAAAAGAATTAAAAATTGTAAAATGTTGGGCACCTGGGTGGCTCAGTCGGTTAAGTGTTTGCCTTTGGCTCAGGTCATGATCCCAGGGTCCGGCATCGGGCTCTCTGCTCAGCAGGGAGTCGGCTTCTCCCTTCCCTCTGCCCCTCCCCCCTTGTTATGCCTGCACACTCTCTCTCTCTCAAATAAAATCTTAAATAAAATAAAATGTAAAAATCGCAATCATTTAAGAAAAATTGTAAAATGTTTTCTTACCTAAGGTTACAAAAATGAGGCTGAGAAGAGTGAGGTGAGCAAGGTCTTTCATTTTAGATGTTCTTACTGGGCAATCCAAGGAGGAAATGACTTCCCCTCAACCGTCTTTAGTTTTAACTCGCTTTTGGGTACAAAGTCCAGTCATTAACTGACGTCAGCCAGCCAGAGGCAATTACTTGTTAGGGTTTGGTCCTATACCACGGTTCTCTTCTGAGCTTTTGAGATAAAAGAAGTGGGCCTGGCCTTAGAGAGTATTTTTCTGTTCAAAATATTCTATCCAAATTATTACAGTCCAAAATAGCTCAAAACAGCCTAAACATCCTTGGGAGGTTGTGTGGGGTGGGGGTGGGGGAGTAGTTAATCTCTTTATATCCCAAATGTCCCTGGGCCACCATCTGTTAGGAGGTCACCATTCCTTTGAACACCCAATGAGAACTCTGTGCTCCACTCCCCGCCATTTGAGTGTGGAGATGCCGTTTCCTCCTGCTATAGCTCCAAGAATCCCAGGGGAACTCTACTGTGGTTCCCCACACTGTGGCCTAGCTTTTGGGCAGCCTCCCTGATGGTCACTTCGAGCAACTTTGTAATGCTGTCTCCAGGCTTCCATGGCTCTCCACATAGCACTTCACCTGGACATGGCCCCCCCCATTCATGCCCTCAAACATAGTCAATCTCCAACTGTAGCATTTAGCCTAACTTTACCGAAGGCTTGTGGTTGACAGCTCAGGGAGTGGGAAATGCAGTGCAGAGAAAGGAAAAACTTAAAAACAGTTGACTACTTGTCTTCACTCCTGGTTGTTCGCTGGCCTGGCTGCCTGCTCCCCACTCCTCTACTCACCTCTTGTCCCCAAACCCCTGAGAACCCCTGACTTCTCGCCACATTTCAGGAACCAGCGCCGTCACTCTTTTTTTTCTTTCAAAGATTTTATTTATTAATTTGACAGAGAGAGACACAGCGAGAGAGGGAACACAAGCAGAAGCAGAAGCAGGCTGCTACGGAGCAGGGAGCCCGATGCGGGGCTCGATCCCAGGACCCTGGGATCATGACCTGAGCCGAAGGCAGACGCTTAGTGACTGAGCCACCCCAGGGCCCCTGAAGTAGGGGCTTCTTAACCCAGGCCTCCCTCCCTACAACTGAGAACACCAGCTCCCCCAGGGTCTGGCCCCAGCCAGAGGGATGAGTCCAGTCACTCCTCGTGAATATTAGCCAGAGTTTTACCTCAGACCTCAGTGAAGACAAATTTTTTTATGTTATTACACAGAAGGTTACTTCTTTGCTGTCCCAAAAGTCTCCAGTCGGGAATAGGATTTCGGGTTTGCTCTTATATAGCCAAGAGGCCCATTTAAATATTTTTCCCAAACAAAGAAGGCCCATGCTGTTACTCTCAGCTGGAAGGATTCCTGGCACCAGAAGTTAAATCAAAGCCTCTTTTACACCTTTTCTTTTTTCTTTTTAAATTTGCTTTATTGAGTTAGGTCTAATTTACATCAATAAACGAATCCATTTAAAGTGTAAAACTGAGTTTTGATAGATGTATATACATGTGAAACCACCATTATAATCACGATACAGAACATTTCTATCACACCCAAAAATTTCCTCTTGCCCCTTTGCAGCCCATTCCTCCCTCCACCCCCAACCCCAGGCAACGACAGACCTACTTTTTGTCACTAGAGATTAGTTTGCTTTTTCTAGAACTGTATATAAATGGAGTCATAGGATATGTACTATTCTATGTCTGAATCTCCCCCTTAGTACAATGATTTCAAAATTCATCCATACTGCTGTGTATATCAGTCCTTTCTTTTACAACTTTATTGAGGTATAATTTATGTAAAGTAAACCACACATATTTAAAGTCATGATATGGGCATACACCTATGAAATGATGATCATAGTCAAGATATCAAACATTCTCATAATCCCCAAAAGTTTTGTGCCTATCCATCCACACATCCCCAGTCTGAGGTAACCACACATCTGCTTTCTGTCACTATAGATTAGTTTGCATTTTCTAGAATTTTATATAAATGGAATCATACAGATGTACTGGGTTTGGGAATTTTTATTTTTTGGTCTGGCTTCTTTCACTCAGCATAATTATTTTGAGATTCATCCATGTTGTTGTTTCAATAGTTTGTACATATAATTCTTCATTCATTTGAAAGTATTTCCTTAGGATAAAGTCCCAGAAGTAAATTTCTCAGGCAGAGGGTCATTTTTTATGTTATTTCTCAGTGAAAAAACCCATTTTAAAAGATTTTATTTATTTATTTGAGAAAGAGTGAAGGAGAGAGAGAGAAAGTATGGGGGGGAAGGGTCAGAGGGAGAAGCAGGCTCCCCACTGAGCAGGGAGCCTGATGCGGGGCTCCATCCCAGGACTCTGGGATCATGACCTGAGCCGAAGGCAGACACTTAACCGACTGAGCCACCCAGGCGCCCCCAAAAACCATTTTTTATAGCTCTTAATATCTGTTGCTGAATTTCCGTTTGAAGGGAATATAGCCTTTGTAAGTTTATGAAATTATCTGCACCCTCACCAGAACTGGATATTATCCATGCAAGCATTTTTAAAGATGTAGAGTGTTATTTCATTTTGTTTTCCTAGTAGCATGTCTTTGAAATGAGTGAAGAGTATTTTCCCCACATTGCTTTATGAATTTTATTTTCTCTTTTATAAATCCATTCGATTATGACAACCAACTTTTGGAAAATAAGTTATCCAAACACACTGTGAATCTGAAGACCCAGGACTATACCTCATTTACTTTGCATTCCCTGGCCCCTGCACCTCGAGCAAACTGAATGGCATTTGCCCATTCTTTCCTTTATTCCATAAATGTTTACCAAGCACCTGCCAGGTACCAGCCGCTCTGCTGGGCACAGAGGAGTGAACAAAGCAAGAAAGCTCTCGTGGACGGTGGGCAACAGGCAACCAAACCAACATTGTGAGGAAGGTCCTGGAGGAAATGAACAGGAGGCCTGTGGTCAGGTGGGGAGAGTAGCTCCTTTAGTGGAGACCACCAAGAACCCTCCTTGCCTTATCCTGCTTCAGTGCTCCCCCGACTTCTGCTGTCACGCTTGGAATAAAATCCACATTCCCTGGGGGATCAGGCCCCGGTCTGCCTCTCTGACATCACCACTCCATTATCTATCTTCTGGAATTAAGCTCTTGGAGGAGCTAGATGGAGGGGCTTTCTCCAGGAAGTAGCTTGACCTCTCACCTGCTGGCAGAAAGGTGCAAGGGCGAGGTTCCAGGCAGGTGCGGAAACTCCCTCTCCGCCCAAAGACACTGTAATCCTGCTGTCGTCAGAGAGGAGTGAGCACTTCTAGAGATTATAACACTGCTCTTAGGAGTGCTAGCACCGGGCCCCGCGTTGTTGCTCTTCCAGGGAAAACCCGCCATCAACAGAAGGAAGTATGTGAGCACCTGTGTGGGGGTTGCGGTGGTTTCTGGTTTGTACCTGTCAGCCTCCCCAGCCCATTGACTCCTAAGATGAGAGACGACTGGATGAGAGCAGGGCCCCCCAAAGTGTTCCCCGGACCATGACTTGGGAACTTGTTAGAAATGGACATTTCTAGCCGCAGCCCGGACTTACTGCATCGGCTGTCTGTGTTTTAACAAGACCCCAGGTAACTCTGATGTGTGTGTGCTCAGGTGTGATGGCCAGTCTGCCCGTGGCACACAAGATGATTTTAAGTGGTCTGTGGTCACCATTAGAAAACACTGATTCCCGGGCGCCTGGGTGGCTCAGTCGTTAAGCGTCTGCCTTCGGCTCGGGTCATGATCCCAAGGTCCTGCGATCGAGTCCCACATCGGGCTCCCTGCTCCGCGGGAAGCCTGCTTCTCCCTCTCCCACTCCCCCTGCTTGTGTTCCTGCTCTCACTATCTCTCTCTCTGTCAAATAAATAAATAAAATCTTAAAAAAAAAAAAAAAAAAAGAAAACACTGATTCCCTTGGAGGGGGAAAGTACTTGCCTTTTCAAATGTGGTTTGGTCATTGTGATTACACCAGGAGAAGATCACATTTACTGCCACTGTATCTAACTGTGCTCTGATGCTTGCGTATTTCCCTTTACAAGGAAGACAGAGCAACCCCAGGCGCTGAGTCTTTGGCAGAGAGAGCCACCCAGAACCCACTAACACTTTATTTTTATTGTATTTATTTTATGGTGACTTAATATTTATGGTAAAGGAAACTAGTTTTTTTTATCTGAGGTGATGATGTAAAGTTCAATTTAAAAGTAAATTCATTTGGGCGCCTGGGTGGCTCAGATGGTTAAGCGTCTGCCTTCAGCTCAGGTCATGATCCCAGGGTCCTGGGATCGAGTCCCGCATCGGGCTCTCTGCTCCTTGGGAGCCTGCTTCTCCCTCTGCCTCTCTCTGTCTCTCATGAATAAATAAATAAAATCTTTAAAAAAAAAAAAGAAAAAGGACATACCCCAACTTCTGGAAAAGATGGCAGAGTAGGAGGATCCTGAGCCCATCTCGTCCCATAGACACGCTGAGATTACAGCCAGATTAGTGCAACTAACTCTGAAAACAACCCAAAGACCGGCAGAACAGACTTTCCGCAGTGAACTGTAGAGAGGCCACATCAAGAAGGGTAGGAGGGGCAGAGACAGGTCGGGAACCAAACCCCAGCAGGACTAACCACAAGCTGGAGGGATACAAGCACGGCAATGCGAGACGATCAGACACCACCCTGGGCATGGGAGACCTACACTGGGAAGACGGGTTCCCATAACATTTGACTTTAAAACCAGTGGGGCTTAACTTTTCAAGTATTATAATAATCAGGGCTTAACTTTGGGTACTTTAAAACTCAGTGGGCTTAGCTCTGGGAGAGCTGAGGGCGAGAGGAAACGGAGTCCCTGCCCTTTAAGAGCCAGCATAACAACCCCACCGAGATATAGCGGAGAAGCAGCAGTCTGAACAGTGCCCAGGGTCTATGTGAAGGAGATTTATTTACTAACCTCAGAACGGCTGCTGGAGGGGCAGGGTTCTTGAGGAGCTTTCTCCAAGAACTAAACAGCTGAAGGCACCTTTCCCCTCTCCAACCTCCAGCCTGGACAGCAGGACACTTGCAGAACCAGCAGCAACACTCTCCACCACCTGGCCAGCACCGTGCGCCCCACCCCCAGGGTCTCCTGCAGAGCCGCCCCACCCAACTTGCACCACTCAGCAGAAGTCCCTCCAAAGCAGCTCCTGCCCTGGAGTGGGGAAGATGACGACACACACCAGTGTGCCTGCAGTCCCAGCAGCCAAACTCACATGTTAGGCCACAAAACAAGTCTCAATAAATTAAAGATTGAGATCCTATCATGTATCTTTCTGACCACAGCAGTAGGAAGCTAGAAATCAATCACAAGAAAAAACGTGGAAAGACCACAAATACCTGGAGGGTAAATAACATGCTACTAAACAATGAATGGGTCAACCAAGAAATCAAAGAGGAAATCAAGAATTAAAAATAGAATTACCGTATGATTCAGTAATTCCACTACTGGGTATTTACCTAAAGACATGAAAACACTAATTTGAAAAGATAAATGCACCCCTATGTTTATTGCAGCATTATTTACAATAGCCAAGATATGGAAGCAACTCTAGTGTCCATCCATAGATGAATGGAGAAAGAAGATATGGTATATATATATGATATATACGCAATGGAATATTATTTGGCCATAAAAAAAGGGTGAGATCTTGCCATTTGCAACAACATGGATGGACCTAGAGGGTATTGTGCTAAGTAAAATAAGTCAGTCATAGACAAATACTATATGACTTCACTCATATGTGGAATTTAAGAAACAAAACAAAGAACAAACAAAGAAAAAAAAAAAGAGACAAACCAGGAAACAGACTTGTAACTACAGCAAACAGACTGATGGTTACCAGCGGGGAGGCTGGTGGGGGGATGGGTGAAGGAGGTGATGGGGATTAAAGAGAACATTTGCCTTGATGAGCACTGGGTGATGTATAGAACTGTTGAATCTATATTGTATACCTGAAACTAATATAACACTGTATGTTAATTATACTTCAATAAAAAAAGAAAGAAAAGAAAATGGACATATCCCTTGACCAGCAATTCCATTCTAGGAATTTGTCCTAAGGAAATAGTTAGACATGTGCTCAAAGACATTTGCACAAGGATGTATCACCATTATTTTTCAAAGAAAAAATGTAAAACGGGGCACCTGGGTGGCTCAGTTAGTTAAGTGTCTGCCTTTGCCTCAGGTCTTGATCTCAGCGTCCTGGGATTGAGCCCCCTGTCAGGCTCCCTGCTCAGTGGGGAGTCTGCTTCTCCTTCTCCCTCTACCCCCGCCCCCCACTCATGTTCTCCTCTCTCAAATAAGTAAATAAAATCTTAAAAAAAAAAAAAAGCAAAACTATATAAATGTCCAAAAGCTGAACTTGGTTTAAACAAGTTTGGGGGGGCACCTGGGTGGCTCAGTCGTTAAGCGTCTGCCTTCGACTGGGGTCATGATCCCAGGGTACTGGGATCGAGCCCCACATCAGGCTCCCTGCTCAGCAGGAAGCCTGCTTCTCCCTCTCCCACTCCCCCTGCTTGTGTTCCCTCTTTCGCTGTCTCTGTCAAATAAATAAATCAATCTTTAAAAAAAAAAAAGTTTGGTAAATTCTTGAGAAAAATATTGTGTAGTCATCAACACAAAGGAAAATTTCAACAATACTGTTATTTTTACTAAGTGTGAATAAACTACAAAATAACATATACGGGGAAGTATTGGACTTAGGTTCCACCAGGCAGTATTGAGTTTACATTATTTCCTTCATTCACCAAATACTTTAAGAGTATCTTTTTTTTTTTTTTTAAGATTTTATTTATTTATTTGACAGAGAGAGACACAGCAAGAGAGGGAACACAAGCAGGGGAAGTGGGAGAGGGAGAAGCAGGCTTCCTGCGGAGCAGGGAGCCCGATGTGGGGCTCGATCCCAGGACCCTGGGATCATGACCTGAGCCGAAGGCAGACGCTTAACAGACTGAGCCACCCAGGTGCCCCCACTTTAAGAGTATCTTTACGTGCCAGACACTGTCCCAGGCTCTAAGGTTATAGTGATGAACTGAAATGAGCATTTCTGAGATAACTGTGCAAAGTGCTCTGATGGACATATTCAGGATGTGGTGGGAGTGTGTATAATGGAAGAGCTCACCTCGAAACCCAGTAAGTGCGACACCCGGCAGAAGCCAGCACCCAGCCCTCCCCTGGCCGACTTTCTTCCGGGGTGTGAAAATGAAAGAGGCCTCATTTAAAATCGAGCTGGGAAGCCCTGAAGGGGTGCTCTCACGCATGTACCATTCCTAGCAGCCTATATAACCAGCAGGAAGAAGGAAGATCATTCTTATCTTGAAAAGGGAGGACAGCTTTTCACATAGGAATTTTATCACCTGCTTTTAAGGAAAAGAAGGAAGATCCCTGCCCCAGCTACAACACTAACCACGCAGCCAATGAGAAACGGCCACAACCTCCAACTCTTGTTCTTCTCCAATGAACTTGTGTTCAAAACAACCCTCCCTGATTTCCTCCTAAAAGCTAACAGAAGCTGACCTTCCCTTCCCTTTGTCTCTGGACTTGCCTGCGGTCTGCCGTAGTTTCCAATTCTTCTGTCATTCCTACATACACTCATTTTGCTGGTAAAATAACTGGCTATTTTATTTTTAAGGTTGACAGGGACAAAAATCCCCATTTCTGCCCCACTCAGGGAAGCAGCTGCCTCCCAGGGCAGAACCAGAAACTACTGTCCCTTCTGACCTCCTGCCCCGGTGGCCCTGGTTACTCTCCCCAGAAGGCTGCTAGTGTCTCTGTAAATCATTGGGATGGAGGGTGGGAGGTGGGCAGGGGTCTCTGCAGAACTTCTCTCCAGAAGCCATCTCATCCTGCTGCGTCAAGCTCCCTAGTAATCATCTGCCTGTAAGTATTTGCAGTCCTTTGACAAATATTTCCACGGTTCCCAATAATGCCTTCTCAGAGGGTCAAGTAAATGTGTGGGTTTGTGAACTGAAAAACTACCGGTGGGGCACAATCTCTGGGAGCCTTTTCTCCTCTGAGGAAAACTAAGTTTTAGTGGCAACACCCTGGTAGGCTCTCAGAGCTGGGTTCCCAGGGTGGTGTCTCCACATGGACCCAGCATGGAGTGGTGAGGAAGGTGGTTTTGCCCAGCACCTCATCTCAGAGAATTAAAACGAGCTAGATACACTTTACAGTCAGTAGGATGCAATAATAATAACAAAAAACAAACAATAATTGCAAGTGTTGGTGAAGATGTGAAATCCGAACCCTCGTATACCGCTGGTAGAAATGCAAAATTGGGGGCGCCTGGGTGGCTCAGTCGTTAAGCGTCTGCCTTCGGCTCAGGTCATGGTCCCAGGGTCCTGGGATCGAGCCC